GCAAGAATATACAGTGGAGAAAAGACAGTTTCTTCAACAAGTCGTGCTGGGAAAGCTGGACAGCCATGTTTAAAAGATAAAATGAGAACATTCCCTCACACCATATACAAAAATAACTCAAAATGGTTTAAAGATCTAAATATAAGACCTGAAACCATAAAACTCCTAGAAGTGAACATAGGTGGAACACTCTTTGACATAAATTGCAGCAATATTTTCTTGGATATGTCTCCTAAGGCAAAAGAAATAAAAGCAAAATAAGCAAATGGGATCTAATTACGCTTAAAAGCATTTGTACAGAAAACAAAACCAGCAACAAAATGAAAAGACAACCTTTACAGTGGGAAAAAAATATTTGCAAATGTTGTTACCAACAAGGGTTTAATATCCAAACTATACAGACAGCTCATACAACTCAATATCAAAAAATCAAATAATCCAATAAAAGAATGAGTAGAAGACATACAGACAGCTAACAGGCAAATGAAAAGATGTGCAACATCACTAATTATCAGAGAAATGCAAATCAAAACCACAGTGAGGTATTACCTCACACTGGTCAGAACAGCCATCATCAAAAAGTCTACAAATCACAAATGTTGGAGAAAATGTGGAGAAAAGAAAATCCTTCTACATTGTTGGTGGGAATGTAAATTGCTGCAGCCACTAAGGAAAACAGTATGGAGGTTCCTTAAAAAACTAAAAACAGAACTATCATATGATCCAGCAATTCCACTCCTGGATATATATCTGGAACAAACAAAAAAACTAACTCAAGAAGATACATGTACCCCAATGTTTAAAGATATAGAAACAACCAAGTACCCATCAACAGATGACTGGATTAAGAAGATATACACACAATGGAATATTCCTCAGCCATAAAAAAGAATGAAATACTGCCATTTACAGCAATATGGATGGACACAGAGAATATTATGCTTAGTGAAATAAGTCAAAGAAAGACAAGTACTATATGATATCACTTATATGTGGAATCTAAAAAATAATACAAATGAATGAATATACAAAACAGAAACAGACTCACAAATATAGAAAACAAACTTGTGGATCCCAAGGAGGAGAGACAAATTACAGCTATGGGATTAACAGATACAAATGACTATATGCAAAACAGAGACGCAACAAGGATCTACTGTATATCACGGGGGATTATATCTCATATCTTGTAATAGCCTATAATGGAATATAATCTGCAAAAATACTGAATCACTATGCTGTAAACCTGAAACTAACACAATATTATAAGTCAACTATATGTCAATAAAAATTCAAATTAAATTAAAAATAAAAGACATAGCAACATATGGATCTTGTTTGCATACTGAGACAAATAAACCACCTGTAAAGTGCTTTTGTGAGACAAGCAGGAAATTTAAATATTAACAAATATTAGAATATTAAGAAATTATTATTAAATTTTAAGTACAATACTGGCATTATTATTGTGTTTAAAAAAGAATTCTTAACTC